TCTCCCACCTCAATCTCTTCATGGGTCTGTTTGAGTCTATACTCAAAGAAAAGATCATGCATATGACCTAGGAATAATCAAGTTTGGATTATTCTTGGAATAATCAAACCAGGAGACCAAGACAGAAATTGCAATATTTTTAAACCTTAAAAGTGACACAACTTCACTTTCACCATGTTCTATTTGCAACATAAGTCAACCCTATTCATTGTAGTAGTTGAATTCAGAAGGAGGTGAATGCCAGGAGGTGAAAATAATTTGGGGCTATATTGGATGATAGACACCATACCTATCATCAAGTTGATTTATATTCTCTTTAAGTCCTTCGAGTGATTTTTTTCCCTCTCAAAATTTCAGATAGTTTGGGTCTTAAATTTCTAGTTGTTTCTTTGGAATAGTTTTCATTTCTTTGATTTTGATGAATTCACCTTTTTAAAAAAAGATTTATTTATTTATGCATACAAGAACAGGGGTACAAACCAAAGGTGCAGGGGATGAGAGGATTCACCAGAGACTGAGTGGGGAACAGAACAGGCAAATTGACCAAAATACACTGCTGATGGGAGCAATGGGTGAGGCAAGAGTGGTCTGTTGTACTATGTGTCTACAGTTACCTAGCTCCCTGGCTGGCAGGGGATCAAACTTGTTCTGCAGAGGCTGCAGATAACTTCACAGTACTTAACCCCTTGCGCCACCAGGGAGGCCCGGATTCATCTTCTGTATACTCATAATGATCATCTTTTCCTTTATTTGAATATATTTACAATAGCATTTTATTTATTTATTTTATTTTATTATTTTTTTAAAATAAATTTTATTTTTATATTCCCCATACAATTGCAATCCCCTTATTTTGACCCCAATCCCTCCCCTTCCCGCCCCCCACTACCCATAGAATGCCTCTGGTTCATAGTTGTTTGTTGATTTTGATTTTCACTTTCTTGGAGTTCTTCATTTTCCTGGTCCCTTATTTAAGTTTTCTAGATTCCTGCTATGAGTGAGACCATCCGGTATTTTTCTTTTTCTTTCTGGCTTATCTCGCTGAGCATGATCCCTTCCAGCGCCATCCATGTTGCTGCAAATTGCATGTGTTTATCTTTTTTGAATGCTGAGTAATATTCCATGGTGTATATGTATCACATCTTCTTGATCCAGTCATCTGTTTTTGGGCATTTGGGCTGTTTCCAAAGCTTAGCTATTGTAAATAGTGCTGCTATAAACATAGGGGTGCAGGTGCTCTTTGGAATTGATGTTTCTGTGTGCTTTGGGTAAATACCTAGGAGTGGAATTACTGAATCATATGGAAGCTCTATGTTTAGTAGGTCAAGAAATCTCCACATAGCTCTCCATAGTGGGTGGACCAGTTTGCACTCCCACCAACAGTGCAGGAGAGTTCCTTTTTCTCCACATCCTTGCCAACATTAGTTGCTGCTAGTTTTTTTAATATGTGCCATACAATAGCATTTTAGAATCCTTTGTCTGTGAATATCAACCCATAAATCATCTCAGGGTTGATTTCTAGTTTTTTTTTTTTTTTACTGTAGTTCATATTTTCATATATCCAATAAACTTTCATTGCATGCTAGATTTTTAATGTTTCCTTGCATTCTGCATTCTTTTATGATTTTCTGAAGAATTTTTTTTCTTCTAATACACAGTTAAACTTGATGGGACTCATAGTTCAAACCATACCTCCCCTGTGGTGAGCAACAATTAACATTTCTTGACTTTTTCAGTCTAGTTACTGCTTTGTGCTTTCTGCTGTGTTCTTTGTAGTTGCCCGTACGTATCTGTAGTTCACAGGCTAGCTTAGTACTTGAGCAGTTTATATGTAGGTTTTTAGACCCTTTGACTGTGTTCCCTTCTTTCTGGAATTTCCTCTTAATTTTTAGCTTCTCTTCCAGCCCGTAATTCTGTTTTCTGACACCTCAAGCTGCTAAGATTTTTGTCTTTAATTTTCTGCTTGAGTTATAGTTGTCTTATGCTGCCTGCAGAGTACCCTCAGAGGAAAAGTGAAATAAATGGGTATCTCACTCAGTAGATTTCTTTTCTTTCATGGATTACATAATTTCCAATTTTCTGATTTTGGTATTTCCTCCACAAATTTAAAGAGCTGTTTTCATACTTAGTCCAGAGATAAAAATTTCTGTATGCAGGGGGGTTAGATCTACCAGCCATTCTGCCACACAAGAATAGAACCTTATTCATTCATTTTTGAGTGAGACATAAAATAGCACATTAGAAATTTTAAGTCCCTGAGCTTATTATTCAATGATGTGCTTCACTGTAAAGATGATAAAAAATGAGGGTGTCTTGTTGGGAGAGAAGGATGTAATCCTAATTGTAGTTATCCATAGGTCTCCCTCCTCTTGGGTTGTTCAGTTTTTTAGTGAGATATCCTCCAATTTCCTGTATTATTGGGGATAGGATATATATAAATCTATTTTTCAGCAACTTAATAGACCTGGCAGTCTGTTTATTATGTAAGGTTTCACAGATCTCTCTGCTTTCAACATGGTCTCAGCTGTAATTTGTGACCTAAGACATAATTAATATTCTGTTCAACATTTCCAAAGATTATATTTACCTACTACTCCAAGGGTTTGGGGAGAGTGTTTTTAGGCTGTGAATGGCACAAAAAAGATTGTATGGGCCTAAGACATGATAAGAATGTTCAACCTATGTTTTTTCTCTGATCTATTTATTGATAAATTCTTGAGCATTTCTGAAATTCTGTGGCTAGATTTCTTGTTGACTTCGCCCATTGATATATAGGTTACCATTTGTTCATCTGTTTCTGGGTTCTAAGATGTATTTGTTATTATTTCGCCTTTATTTTTTGGGAATATATGCCTTTGTTCCATTTCTGGTCATTTTTGATGAGAGCTGGTAAGGAGTGATGATAAAATGCACAGACTCAACTCTTGTTCCATCTGTCTCAAAATGTTTTTTAATTTATTTTCATCTATTTTTAAATAAAAATAAACTGCATAAATTAAACCAAACATCATCTTTTTAAAACTTCAGTTAGTAGCACCAGTTACAAATGTTAGTTATGAAAAGCATAGGTGTCAAATGATTGTTGAATGCAATTATCAATTCTACAGTTACCTCTGTACCATGAAATGGTGTTTCAACTGCTGTTGTTCACTAATGTATCAGGAGAGAAAAGGCTTACCATCTCTTTCAATGTAATATGCTTGCTTTGGATTTATGTTGTAGAAGAATTCCACAACAGACAAGTACCTACATACAGTGTTGCCACTTCATGGAAGTACACATCAAGGAAGTTTATTTTATGAGAACTAAAATTTATATTAGAGAACTTTAGTCTTGTTTTGCTTATTAACTTGATTTTCTAATTTGAAGATTAGTAAATTCTTTTCCTGCTAAGTATCAGTCTTTCACCAAATAATCCAGTATTTAATGAAAATTGTATGAATCCACACATACTTGCTATTGTTAAGTCATTTTGTATATTGAGTGTGCTTGTCCTCATAAAATTACTTTTGAGGAACAGCTTTTTGGTTTTTCATTCTCAATCGACTAAGGCTCACATTCTTATTACTAATTGTTTAGGGTTTTATTTTACTTTATTTTGTTAGTTCACCAATATAGCAGGAATGGTCTTAAGTATAAGAAATAAATCAACATATCAGACTGTGTTCACTAATGTTATCAGGGACTAATGTTTTTAGGGACAATCTGAAAAATATTTAGTGGATGTTGGAAGATGTTAAAAAAAAAAAAACAAAAAAACAAAAACTAGAGTAACACCTGTGAAGTAAGATCAAATAAAGGAGCTAAGTTTTTTAGCCAGAAATGAGATGTGCTATAATAGCGTGATGTCCTTTTGTATACAAAGATTTATTAAAGAATGTAATGACTAATTGTTCATTATTGTTGAAATTTGAAAAAAATTCATTGTTAGAAACATAAATGATATATTTAAACAATACTTAGAAACATAGTCTGAAGGTTGATGTACATTTGGATGTTCGTGATAGGACACATCTCTTGGGAAGAAGGAAAAGCTTTCGATGTAGCAATCTTATCTGTCACGAATGATGACATGTTCTGCCTTAAAAAAGAAGGCTGGATTGGTTGGTTTCCCCAGGGCCCTTCCTAATCTGTAATTCTTTGGGTCACTTCTGTTGCTGGCCTTCAGAGGTTGGGAATGAAGGAGACATAGCGAGTACCTGCCCTTTCGGGACGAGCGCCAACAGTGCCAAAGGAGGCAGTGCAAGCAGCAGACCAGCAAGCACCAATTGCAATTGAAGACTTCGTTCAAAGGTGAGTCAGGTCGGCACGGACTCAAGTCTCCTCCATTCCGCCAGCTCTCACTGGGTCCAGGCGCGAAAACCCTGGGGAGCATCCCCAGAACACCTTCCTCAGCCACTAATACAGGCGTTGAGAGAGGGATGAACAAGTGAGAGCTGATTAGCCTGCTAGGTGGGGAGAACGCCGCCGAAATGCACTCTAGGAGGGATGAGCTGTACTAACAACACCCGGGAGCCTTCTTCACCCTCCGGCTGCACCGCCAGGACCCAGGTGCTCCCAGAGCGTGCTGGGCGCCCGCCACTCCCAGCGCCGGCGTCCCGCTGCTCACGGTGGCTTCCAGGCTCCGGCTCCCGCGGGGGGGCGCGTGGGAGGATGCTCTGGTCCCCGCGTCTTCCCCGGCTCCAGCATCCGGAGCCGCCCTAGCCTGCACCGCGCAGCCACCGCCTGCGGAGGAGAAAGGAAAAGAGGGAGGGGGCTGGAAAGGCTCCGCGGGGGGAGGAGGGGAAGGGGGGAGGGAGCCTCTCTCCCTCGCCGCGCCTCCGCCTCTCCTCTCCACTCCCGCGGGCGGCGACGCCGCGCTCTCCCTCCGCGCTCCGAGCCGGCTGCTCTCCCCGGCTCCGCCCGCCCTCTCTCCGGGCGTGCGGAAGGTGCGCCGCGGCTGCGCGCCGGGGCGGGGAGGGCGGCGGGGGCGCGGGGGTGTGCGGGGGACGCCACTCTCGCTCTGCGTCCGCAGGCGGCGGCGGGCGGCGGGCTTCTCGCCCGGCAGCGGCGGCGGCCTCCGGAGTCCCGCCGCGAAGATGCTCAAAGTCACGGTGCCCTCGAGCTCCGCCTCGTCCTGCTCTTCGGTCGCTGCCAGCGTGGCCCCGGGGGCTGGGAGCCTGGTCCCGGATTACTGGATCGACGGCTCCAACAGGGATGCTTTGAGCGATTTCTTCGACGTGGAGGCGGAGCTGGGACGGTAAGGTGGGGGCGGCACGCTGGGCGCGCGCCGGGGCGCCCGGGCTGGAGCCCCACGCTCTGCGCGCGGGCTCAGCCCTCGGTGGAAGCCCGAGGCGCGCGCGAAGGACTGTATGTGCCTCTTGCAGTGCCAGGTCCCGAGGATGCGGGAGCAGCCATCCTGCCCTTCGATTTCTCCCGCTTAGTGTTTGGGCGAGAGCTGTGCAGCGTTCAAGTGAGAATCAGGTCTCCTCCTGAGCGCCCAGGCGGGTGCAGCTGCGAGCTGTCAACTCTCTGCTAGCCTCCTTCCTCTCTGGCAGCCACTTCCTTTGGGTAAAATCTCCCGTTGCACGTGGGCCCTGCTTTCCCAGTTGGGGTCTTTGCTCAGGATTTTAGCACGCCAGAGAATCCTGTTTGCTACTTATTTGGGGGGGTGGGGGAGGGAAACAGAGGGGTCCCCTCCAGATCATAGCAAAATTATTAAATTAGATTTTCCTTCCTCCTTCTCATCAAGTTCTCCAAAGCAAGTGGCTCTAGAAATTAAACTTAAATACTAGCTTCCCTGCAGAGTCTGCTGGGCTCAGGAGTGAAGGGCGGAATGAATCATTTAAGAGAGTTGAAGGCAGAATAATGAATTAGTGTGGCTTTAAAGAAAAAGCAACACATGGGATCCAGGCAGTGGTAATTAGTGGGAAGAGTTCTGTTACTCTTCTTTCTGTGCTGGAGTGATTTATTTAAATTATGCATACAAAAAAGCCAATTCCCTGGGGTGTCCCTCCTCCAAAGATCCTAACAGGTAGTGATTTTGCCATGTGAATGATGCCATATGTTCTCATATTTGTATTCATTAAAATTACCTTTTCTTTCCCCTTTTTCATTTTTCCTTCTTTCTGTTGTCCATAGGTAATGAGACTGTAAAACTCATTTTAGATCCAGGCCCTTTATTATAGGCAACTGAAGATGCAATTTCAACTGTTGACAAGTTGAAGCTTTTGTACTTCCTACTTCTTTGCAATTTCATTTTCCATTCTCTCTTTTCAAGGAATAGTTTAGCTGACAGCCATTTATTTTCTTTTTGATGCTTTTGGGGGCCACAGAGCAATATTCTGGATTTAGTGCTTAGTGGGAGGGAGTAAGGGTGGGTCACCTTCTGACCCCAATTTGCCATTACTGTATTAAGGGCTCACTGAGTCAGAAAGGCAAAATTTCTGATTAAAAATTTATCAGTTTTAAACTATTTCAAAATATTTGAGATTTGAATAAAGTACGCATAAATATCCTGTTTTGATCCAGTTTTTCAGTGTTCATCTGAAAATCTGCTAATGTATGCATTCACTAGTGGGTTGAAAATGAAATGGTTCCTTTGGTAAGGTCTAAAACCTACCATGATTATGTGAGTAGTAGCAGTTGGAGCAGTGTAAACTTCTGATTCAAAAGATAACCTACTTAAAATGGCTTACTTGGTGTTTCAGAAACTGCCACCTGGTAGAGGAAGTGCCTGATGGTGCTACAGGGATTGTCCCATCACCAAATCCAACTGCTTTCTGAATAATGTCTACCCAGATGCCTCCAACTGGCTCTGACTTATCATCAACACAATTATCTTTATGAATAAGCTTTTCCATTAGAAAGCTCAAGATATTTCCTTTAATTTGAGGGTGGGTAACTGGGTAGGGAAAAAAATCCTGGTGCTTGTATACATAGATTGAATGGCTGATTTCATAAGGGAAATCTAAGGAGTTTGAAGTTTATTAAAAAACTAAAACTTGGTGTTACATTTTGCCTTAAAATTTTGGGGGGCAGCTATAAATCAATTATTTATTGCTAAAACTTTCACTCTGCTATCTAGTCATTTGATTACCTTGAAAAATCACAGAGCTAAAGTGTTTTGAGAAAACTAAAAATTGATATGGCTGCCTTTCAGTGGTCTTGTATGCTAGGTAGTTTGTTAATGACAGTATTAATGAAGGGCTTGCTTATACCATTTGGTTGAAATGTTGAGAAATATTATCATTCATGATCAAAGTTTTTTTTTTTTCAGCAAAATAAACCCAAAACATAAAGCCACTAATGTTACAGTTATAATTACTATGAATCTATAATGCCAGAGAATGTACCAGATTATAATTGCAAGTATTAGCTGAATGACAACAGTCCTCTTCCTCCCTGTACTAGTGATAAAATAAAGAGAGTAATAAATTTGAGATGAAGTCTTTTACTCCTTATTCCCAGTCTTGGGTCCAGTCTGCATGCCAGTGGTCACTGTAAGGCCAAAATGTTTAATTCATTAGTAACACTGTTACCATTAGGATGCTAAGAGAACAACCTTCCTGGTGTTGTGTGGTGCTATTGCGATTAGTTGCAGGGTGTGGACAATCTCTCTAGATTAAGGTAATTTATGAGTAGTCAGTCCTCTGCTGCCATCATTTGTTGTGAACTAGTGACTCTCTAATTCAAGGAACACACTGAGCATGTGTTTGGGAATTTTAGGGACTCAATTTCCCAGGCTGTAACCACTGGAAGCTCCTGAATGGTACTGGCAGCTCTGATCTACCTGTAGTCATTCCGACCAGGGCAGGTGTAAGGGCTTTCTTTTTGAGCAGTGGGGTTGAAGGGTGGAGATGGAGGTGAAGGGGATTATTTAAGAGTATCAGACAAACTAATTTTTCTAAAATCACAAAGATACTGCTTTGTTTATAGAATTGGTCAGTTTATAAAAATCATAATACAATAACAAATTCATATCTGCTTAAAAGATGAATTGGCCATGATCCTGTTCAGGTCTTAATATCCTAGAGAGTAGTTGGTCCTTTGCCCGGTGATTTGAGAAATTGGTATTTCAAAGGTTTTTCCAAGGGAAGAGGAAACTTCTAGTCCAGATACTATCCATGACACGGTGGAGGGAAGGGTTTGGCTTGGTCTTCTTTGCTCTGTGGTGGAGAGTGTTTCCAAACCCTTGTGCTAATTTAAGTTATTTCCTACCTTTTATTTCTGTCTGTGGTACATGATTGAAAGAATGTAACAAAATCAGATGTTTTTCTTTCTCTCTCCCCCCCCCACAAATTTAGGGAATCCAAATTAAAAGTAATTAGAACAAACGGAGAAGAGTATGTTAAATTATTTTGGAATCAATTTTTTTTTTAGAAATATCCTTTTCATTTACTATAGTTTCTTTAGGCTAATGACTTTTATTCTCACTTCCAACTCCTAAACAGATCCTTAAGTTTTTAAAAGTACATTTATATGGCAACCCCATTGAAGCATGATTATACTGGATCCCTTGCTATGGGTATTACTGCTTGGGAACCAAATCGATTTAGATAATGAGACATTTGTGTAAAATGGAAATGAATTTGTCAAACAGTGTTATTACCAACAGTATACTTTAATATTTACTATTCTATTGTTTGATTAAAAACATTGACTGGACCCACTTACATCTCACTAATAGGTTGTGTCTCAGTTTGAAAAATGTTTTAGGTTACAAATCGATGTTTGCCAGGTTAAAATATGTGGCCCAGTCCTTTTGAAAAATGCCTTTTAGAACAGTTGGTAATGATGAAAAGTTTTCCTATCTTTGTCTATAAGTCATTATTGGGTTTTCCATTTGAAATGTTTTGGACAAACTGGTATTTCCTTAAGATCTGCTCTGTATATTATGCTCTGGATTGATCGAGGGGGTGGGACTAGGGGTATACCTTCTCATGGAAGGAGAATTTATGACCTGATTAATAGTGTAATCTACGATAACACATAACTGGCCCCAGATAATGACCAACTAGAAGGATTGTGATCGTTGCTCTTGGCTGGTGAAGAAACAGGTCCCTGTCTTTCTTTCTCTTCTTTCTCAGCCAGTGCCCTTGGTTTCCCAGTGCCAGCCCTCTATGATTCCACCACACCTCCTCCCTCCCCTACACATAAGCTCTGTCCTTCAAGGCTCAGAGCTGTCCAGGGTGTCCTGGGTGATCTCTTGCCATACACACTACCCTTAACATCTTAAGCTCTTTGGAGGATGGAATGTTTTTTAATCTAAGAATTACAAATATACTGTTAGGTCCCTCTCTTGTTTTCTATTTATCTGATTGTTTTTTCAAACAATTAACTTGGGATCAAGATGGAATTTCAAGTGGGACAAGAAAAACAGGCTGCATGAAAAGTGAAACTTCCTGGGATTTGGCTGATTCATTGTTGTGTGCTCATTGCTCATTACCCACACAGTGTTCAGTACTCAGTGTGTGTTCCACTAATGATTTTAAGGAGAATGAATGAATGATAAACAGGGCAGGCTCAGCAGATAAGTCCCCTTCCTTCTGTCGGAGTTGGTGTGATGACCAAGGTCCTGTTGTCTCCAGGAAAATGAAAATCTGGTGACTAGCTTATCTTCTCCCTAAACCTTGTGTACAGTGACCCTAATCTCAGCTTGGTTTCCTTTCTACATAATGCTATGTAGTGTTTTGCCTGTATTTTCTTCTATATATTTTATGGTTTCAGGTCTTATGTCTAATTCTTTGATCCATTTTGAGTTGATTTTTGTGCATGGTGTGAGGTATCAATCAAGCTTCATTCTGTTGCATGTAGCAGTCCAGTTTTCCCAGCACCATTTATTGAACAAACTGTCTTTGTTTAATTGCCTATTCTTTGCTCCTTGGTGAAAGATTAGCTGTCCATAAATCTGTGGGTTTATTTCTGGGTTTTCAATTCCATTCCATTGGTCTGTGTTTCAGTTTTTGTTCAAAAATAGATAACTGGATCAAGAATATGTGGTATATATACCCAATGGAATACTATGCAGCAATCAAAAATATACATTAAAGCCATTCACAACAACATGGATGGAGCTTGAAGGGATTATGCTCAGTGAAGTAAGTCAGAAGGAAAAAGAAAAATACCAAATGGTTTCATTTATAGGAGGAATAAAAGGAGTCAAGGGAAAAAATAATAACAACAACAAAAACCACAAGAAGACAAAACAAAAATAAACAACTAGAAATCAGAGACATTCTGCAGAGGTGGGGAGGGAAA